TATTTTTTATTTTGTGAAGTTTTTGTCTTTTTTAGGTTAAAAGGTCCAAGTTCCCTAAGCAATAAAAGTATGATTGATTAGTAGGACGGATTAATGCTCCATTTGATAAGATGGAAAGTTGGAAGGATAAATAAAACATCATGTTTGGTAAGGAAGTAAAATAGGAAGGATAAAAAAGTGAATGAATTAATTTTCTTTTCAACTAACAAAAATCAATCCCTCTAAAATCGGAATGAAAGTGGATGAAAAATTAATTATTTGTGTTGAGATATATCTTATATTTCTATATATTATGTATACATTAGTTTTATATAAAAATATAATGATAAAATATGTATATATATATATATATATATATATATATATATAATTAAAAAATTAAAATTAAAAAAAAAATTCATCTTAATTAGGATTGAAAATTTTCGACTCAACACAATAATACGATTCGAATTCAACACGAACTTAAAAATGACCTGACACGCGAATAAGAAATATAAAAAACTCATAATTTTATGATTCAACACGAATTTGACACCACACGACTCGATTGTCACCCGTAATCTAGCCAACACAAAAAAAAATAAATTAAAACAAAAATTACTTATTTTGATTTTTCATCCATCCAATCAAACACAAAGTAAGGAAAAATTTATCACTTTTACTTTCCGTCTTTAAAAGATAGAAAGTGTATCTATCTTACTTCCATCCTTCCTATTTTTCATCTATCCTACCAAACGAAGTATAAAATTAGTTAAACGAATCATATTCAAGTCTCTGATATAAATTCGAATTCTTATTAAAACATAAATCCTGATTTAACTAGTGAATAGATTCAGAAATCAATTCATACATTCGAGATTTATTTTCGATTCTACTTAAACGCACAAATTCAAGTGAAATAAAAATGTTTTTACTCGTCGAGATTTGGGATTTATTTTCAATTCTATTTAAACACTCAAATTCAAGTGAAATAAAAATGTTTTTACTCGTCGAGACAGATTAAGAATTTTTTTGTTACCTGAAAAAACAACCAAGAACAACAACAAAAGATGTTGTTGGCTTGAATTCCATGAATTTGAGAATTATAGTAAAAGAACCGTCAAACACATTTTGTTTTGTTTTTTTTGGTCATTGCGAAACACGTTCATAGGATAGAAAATTAGGAACATTAATCCCAATCATAGTGCGTAATTAGGACATGATGATACGAGAATCCTATGAGGAGTTGGAAAAGGGCAGGCAAAAGTAAGTACTCACAATGGTGACAGCTTGTTGCTGACCTGGCACCACTGCCCAATCATCACCTTAATAGGTGCCATTGACTTTGACTACTCGTCAATCCAACACTGAAAGTCCACATGTGCTTTCAAGCTGTCATTACCAAACTCTCAGCTGGCCGTCACCTTAGCTTCTACTCTAACCGCAACCAATTAAAAGCTACACGTGCGGTACACGATTGGTCTCTGTCCACACGTGTCTCTTGGCCCCCTCTCTCTCCCACTCTCTCGCTCTGCGCCAACCACCGGCCACCGCTTCCTTCAATGTCTTTCACGTTTGTCCCTGTAAGTAGACAATTCGGCGGCCACACTTGAATTTCCCATTTAGAATGACCATTGTACCCTTAAGTTAATATAATTCAAAATATAATTTATAATCCATACCCTTCTTGATATCCCAGTTGCGACAAGAGATTCAGATTGATTTTTATGTTCTTATTTGCTATTTCAAAGGTTAAGATCTTTTTGGAGGTGGTATTTGAAATTGAACTTATGGATCTTCTTGATTTCTTATGATGTTGAGTAATATATGTTTATAATATAAATAATCTCATTGTGTATTCATTAAAAAAAAAAAAAATCATACCCTGCAAGTACGGGTCAGGTTCTAACTGTGGCTTTTTAAACTACTATTAGAACAATGGGTGAATGATTCTTAGATCACATTCTAGAATTTTGGTGAATAGATAATGAATGATATTTGTCTATGAAATGAATTGGTTAAAAAGGTTTGTCACATGGCATTCATTTTATCAATAAAAAGAAAAAAAAAAGTTAATTGACGTGATTTTCTAAATTTAGACAATTATAACCCTGCATCAAAGAGAATGAAATAATTATTTCGGTATTCAAAGAGGCGACAATTATCAAAGTTAATTAAGTCTCTCAGACCAAGTAAACAAGAGTGGAAAGAAACTCCCAAGGCATTAATTGTCAGAGAAAGATACGATCAAACCCATCAAAGATTCACAAATTTGACATTTTAGGAATAATATTTGATTAGTTTTACGATAACATTAGTGTTAGAATTGATTAATCAGTCTATTGTAATTCAAAACATTTCTCAAATGAATAAATGTATTTTTTTTTTCTTTTGTTAATCTTTTGATTATCATTTTTTATGCTTCAAATTTGTGTTATTGTTGTCATCCAAAGAACATTTGAAACAAGACACTTGAACCTGGCATTAAGCAATCACCTAAGATTACTCTATAGAAGGATTATGTTTGTCGATCATAAGAGAAAATATTTTATGGAGATCAACAATACCCTATAAGATTTTTTTAAAAAATATTTTTGTTGCATTTATCATATTATCCTATTTACGATAATTTCATGCCTAAAAATACAAATGCAATAACAAAATTAAACATTGATTCTGCAATACTATGGTTTGATTAAATTGTTTGATTTTAAAGAGTGTGTTAATTAAGTTGTTTGACATTGAGTTCCTTGCAAAAAAGATATTTATAAGGTAAAAAAAAAAATTAGAACAAATTTTTGTACTATTGAATCAAAGTAGATGAAGATTATATCAATCTTTACCGTTATTATTTATAGTATAAAATAAGATATGCTTCAATAAAGTCATTTGACGATTTCAAATAAACTCAACGGCCACCAACATTCCTTTCCAAAACTATTCATATTGAATTTTTTTCTTCTCCAAATTCCTCATTTCTTATTTATGTTGTACCGTACCTTCAAACACGAGTTATCTCTAGTGTTTTTATAAGTTAAGAATTCAATTTCTTAACTATAATTTTGTATATACACGTGTTTGCATGATATTCAAATTTCTTAAAATGGAGTACATTAATATCATTTTGTTTAATTAAGGGTGTAATATAAGAAGTTTAATCTTTATAATCTAAATTAAGAATGAAAAAAAAATCAAGATATAAAGTGTCATTTATTGTAGAAGAATTAAGTACTTCTAATTTTAATTGAGTTTCTTTTGTGAAAATTCTTCTAAGTTGATATGACAAGATTAAGCCATGTGATCAACACAAGCTTCATTTATGGTGGTAGCTTTGTTCAACCAAAAGGTTGAACCCCCTTTAATTGCCTTTTTTAGTCTATCATCTTATTCAAACTAGTCATGTCTCATTACGTGGCTCTTTTCCGTCCAATCAAGTTTAGCATATTCGAGTGGAAGGTCTGAATTTAGGGAAAGTCTACGGCATTGGGGAAAAAAATGGGTACAATATTACCGATTATTATTTTTTTATGGTAAAATTATAATTGTTCAAAGAAATTTTACTATCGATTCTAAATACCCATGATTGATCATACATTTTAAAATTATAATTTATACCTTAAAAAAAATTATAACTTAATTTTAAAAAATTATAATTTTCGGTATGATTCCATAGTCTATTCCATAAATTTAAATTCAAGTATAACTCAAAGGAGTCTGATATTCTAATTATAACTTCAAGGACCAAATTGATATATGTCCCATTTTTCAAGGGTAAAAATATAAATTATCCTAATTCAAACTTTAATAACGGATTTTAGAAGATGGGCAATGGAATTGAGACTTTTGGAGATAAGATATAAATGTAAAAAACAAAAAAAGGTATTGGGACTTAATTTGTTAATCTAGTTAATTACTACTATTTAATTAAAAATAACGATATTAAGATCTAAAAATTTAACTTAATTTACTTACATAATTATGTTTCAAGTGATGGAGTTTCAATGAAATAGTTTAAATATTATAGTCACAACAATACTGTTGGATCACATCACCATTATATCATTAAGTCAACATATTAAATTAATTTTTTTATGTTTTAATAGCATTATTTGTAACATTACTCAATTGATATTGCTACCAAATTGATAAGTATGATGCATTAGAACATCTCTAACCTTAAGTCGGAAAAACAGTTTGATTTCTTTAAATTTAAAAGAGCACAAACTCATTAAAAATGGATAAATTCAAATTTAAAGACATGACAACTGAATGAAATCAAATTATTAGTAATTTGAATAAAGATTTAAATGTCCTTTGATTTTAGGATAAATTTGAATTTTTCTTAATTTGAGTATAAAATTAGAAAAGATTTTTAAGTTAGTTTTGTTCAAATTTAAATTTAGATGTTAAAAAGAGTAACGACTGGTCGGTTAATTAAGGGTAATGTTGATGTGGTGTAATGATCCAATAAAAAAAGTAATGTCGTTTGAACCTAAAAAAAAAAAACAAGAGTAAACCATGTGGTGTAATGATTCATTAAAAAAAAGTAATGGTGTTTGAACTTAAAAACTATACTTCATTTGTTTACTTGATTCACTATGATCTTCAAATTTATTATAGATTCTGTCAAACATTAAAATTTATTGTTTATTCGATAATTTTAATGAAATCACATCATCAAGTCACTAAATAAGATCAAATTTTTATGTGTGAATAATATTCCTCATAAAAATAATTATAAAATAGATAAAATGGAGTCTATTTTCTATCGTGGAGACGATTATATATTGAATGGCTGCATGGTTATAAATTTTTATAGGCTCACTCGTAGGTTTGTTTCGTTATTAGGGATGGTTATATCACGTCTCATTCTTGATCTAGTGTAACGGTTTCACCGACAGGTACCATTAGTATTTTTCTTAAATGACTATTATGCCCTTCACCGACCTTATTTGGGATCGAAACTATATAAACCGACTCCCGCTGTTTCTTCCTCCATCGCCAACACAGAACAAATCATAACAAAACGCAATCAATCTCTCTCTCTCTCTCTCTCTACACCGTTAATGGAATCTCCTACTCGTTGTTCGGTGATCATCGTCGGAGCAGGCGTCTCAGGTAAAACCCAATACCACACCATAATTCCGGCGCTCGCCGTTCCTTCTATTCTGAACCATTGATTGTATTAACTAGTGCACGTGTAAACCAATGTGTGCATATATTTTACAGGTATATCGGCGGCGAAAGTGTTGGCCGAGAATGACGTCGAAAACATGTTGATTTTGGAGGCGTCGGACAAAATAGGTGGGAGGATCCGGAAGGAGAGTTTCGGCGGCGTATCCGTGGAACTCGGCGCCGGTTGGATCGCCGGAGTCGGTGGCAAAGAATCGAACCCGGTCTGGGAACTCGCTCGTCAATCTGGCCTCCGGACTTGTTTCTCCGATTACAGTAATGCTCGTTACAACATTTACGATCGTAGGTATATTATATACATATCTCTAGAACTGTTTCTGGCTATTTTGCTATTTTGCGCCGGGGGTGTAGAGTTCCCCTTGCCGGAGTTTATGGTTAACTTGGTGGCCTATGGCTATGTTGCAACGGATGGCGGAGTTTATTCTTTTCCTCTATTTTGCGCCGGGTGTTGAGTGTTCCTATTACCGGAATTTATGGTTACACGTGAACCTTAGCGGCCTATGATGGCGAAGTTTAGTGTTTACAAATTTTTTTGGCTAACAGACGTCGTGGGCATATAGCGCATGGGCTCAATGGTTTTTTGGCGTTGAGTGGGTTGTTAACTTGTTATGGATCAACATTGTGGCTCCGGCGTAATTTAGTGTTGTTTGGTCCTTTTTTTAGCTTCTATATTTGTGAATTTTTCTAAAATAAGCAGTGGGTTGATTTTGAAGCCAACTTGTCTTAATGGTAAAATGATGATTTACAGTGGGAAGATATTTCCGAGTGGAATCGCCGCTGACTCGTATAAGAAGGCGGTGGACTCGGCAATTCAGAAGCTGAGGAACCAACAAGGCAACCATGGTGTTGCTGATGTGTCTAAACTTTACGAACCTCCATCGTTCGTACCTCTCTCTCTCTCACACACACACATGTTGGCCTTTTGGTGTTGATTGACATTTCCTTCCTTTTGGCCTTTGCAGGAGTCCAAAAACACCTATTGAGCTGGCCATTGACTTCATTCTTCATGACTTTGAAATGGCAGGTATGTTTGAAACTCAATTTAGTATCACCTTTTCTGAGTAAAATTTTGGACCTTTGGCTTTTTAATTGCTCAAGGACAACGAAGTGGGGTTTCCAAAAGGTGGTGTTAATCATTAAAGCAGCAATGGTTTTTCTCAAAGCAATCTATGTTGTAATTATGCTTTTCTTTTGACAAAAAGCAGCCAGCTCTATTATGACAATTTAAAATCATGAGTTTGTTCTATATGCAATCTGAAAATTGGGTTTTGTTCACAGAGGTTGAACCGATATCAACTTATGTAGACTTTGGGGATAGAGAATTTCTGGTTGCTGATGAAAGAGGGTATGAATACTTGCTATACAAAATGGTGGAATCCTTTCTATTTACCTCCGAGGGTAAAATCTTGGACAGTCGTTTAAAACTCAACAAGGTAAAACATCTCTGCTTCTGATATTATGGGTGTATATAATTTGCTTTTTTGTTTGGTTTTGTTTGCTGGTTCTTGAGATTTGTTTTGTCAGTTCGTGTCTTGACAAGCCGATAATAGGATAAAAACAAAGAGACATGTCATGTAGGCAGTAGCATTGAGTCACTTACAAAGAAAAAAGAGGAGCAGAAAGGGCAGGGCCACAAAAATTCCATACTCTATTTTTGTTGAATAATTATATAGTGACCTAAAAATCAGACCTAATTTATTGACTTAATTGACTGTGATATTTGGATTGACCGTAAGTTCCATCAAATATTGGAACTTAATTTTGATCTAATAATTTTTATAAAATCACAAAATTATGTTAATAAATTAGATCAAATTTTTAAATTTAAATAACGTTACTCTTTTGTTTGCATGCACCGGTTTCTCTAGGTGGTGTGCTGTTGAGTGTTGAGATTGATAGACCCGCTTTGAAGAGTTCTCCAGATAATGACGTCTTGTGAAAGCTGTTCTCTTTTCATATTTTATTCTATTACTTTTTGGTATAGTATTATTTTATATACTATATAATACAGATAAATGCCTGTTTGGATCAAATACTTCGTGGGTTCTAATAATTTTTTAACTTCGATAGAGAAAATTAACTTTATTTTGGTCTACTTCATCACCTAATACATATTTTTATATTGAGATTTTTTATTTTGTAGCTAATTATCAACCTGCATGGGTGCCGGGTGGGGAAGAACTTGGAAATTGTAGATATTAAAATATGAAATTAGCTTTGTGTTTCTTGACTCTCTTTGAGTAAAGAATAAGGCCATATAAAGAGAATGTGTTACGAAATTACCAGGCCATATAAGGAGAATGTGTTACGAAATTACCATGATGAAAGTGCTAATCTAGATTCACCTTTTGAAACTCAGCTTTTTTCTCTTTCTTTTTTTAAATTGTGGTTTTCCATGAGTCTTGGGCAAGGAATTTGGGATGCCGAAGACTTTTTTGTAACAATGATGATACCAAAAGAAAAGAATGTGCTGATGCTGCAGTGTGAAACAAACATCTGTGGTCTATTGCTTAACTAAATTCCAACTGTAGTTTAATTGGTACTTTGCTTGTTGATGAACTGAATCTTTCTCAATCAACACTCTTTTGACAAGGATTCCAGAATACATAGTTGTACCATGACAAACTGTGTGCTTGAATTGAATGAACAAAATCTTCTTCATTTTCTGTTTAAATATAAATTATTCGCTTTTATGAGTGCAAAAATGTACCGGCTTTTTATATTGGTATCCAAATTCAATTTGAACTGATTTGACTTAAAAAAAAAAAAAAAGTTCTCTCCAAATTTAGTAGTACTATACTAGTGCTATAAAGATACATGATTGAACAGTTTTTTGCTTAAAAATTGTGGGTCGTCGACTGTGCTGTGTATATTCAATGGTAAGACTGCAGTGATAAGAACGGTGACCTTAATGCGTTGAAATGAGGACGTTCCCTACATAAACAGCCATCTTTTGACCTTCACACGTCTTTGGTAATCATATGATCATGAACTGCTAAGATCTTTCAACCCTTTAAGTCAGTTCACTGCTCATTTCACCTGTCTACGTAGGTCCCAATCTCCACCATCTCAGAAAGTGTGGATATGGACTACTCTTGCGCCCATCTGCAAGAACCGACCCAATTAATAAGGGGGAGGGGCCAAGGTAGGCAGTGATGTCTACTCAAACAATAGGAATGTGGAGTAAATGTTTTGTCATCTTCTTCATCGTATATGGTTATCTGTTTTCTGCTAGAAAAAAATGAATTAGGCTATTTGAGTTACCTGTGGGCGGCCCGTGTGATGTAGGAAATTTGTTTTCTCCACCATTATTCTGTTTTATTTTTTTTAATACTGATATTATTAAAAAAATATTTATTAATAAATTAAAATATTATTTATTAAATGTAAAAATGTGGAGAAAGATGAATAAAAATTTAAATTTAAAATAGTTCAAAAAGATGGTGGAAGTAGTAAAAAAAGATTTATTGGAAGTATCAATTAAATATTTCAAAAATATATAAATTAAGTATTTGAAAATGAGTGTTGTTGGGCGACTGAATATATAGTAATTTCTCTTCAGTAAAAATAAGAGTTTAAATAGGACAGGTTTTCTTGGTTTGATTTCTCAGAATCTTATGGGTGTAAGTTGCATGGAATTGTGGCAGGTTGTTCGGGAATTGCAGCACTCGAGAAACGGCGTTTTGGTGACAACGGAGGATGGTTGCGTTTACGAAGCCAACTACGTGATTTTGTCCGCTAGCATTGGTGTCCTCCAAAGCAATCTCATCTCCTTCAAGCCACCTTTACCTGTACGTCACCCTTTTCATTTATTTATATAATAATCTACCCTGCATATTAGTGATATATTTTGTGGAAGCTATTATACAATAATAATTTGCTTGCATTAAAAAATGTAGAATTAAGAAAACTCACTGAAACGAAGGGATGTCAATGGATTAGCTTGTCTTAAAATTTATTTAATTTATTTTCCACCCATCTTTTATTCTATGTAGTCAGTATATAAGTCATAGTTAGTCAGATTCATGTCATATTTAATTGGGTTTGTGTCGATTTATTTATTAAACTAGTGGAGAGATCAACTCATTTAGAACTCAAAACCATTAATTCTAAATTCGTCTTTGTAATTTCGTGTTGGTTTTGTGTCGGATTGCCAAATCATGTTAGAAATTGTCAACCTTAAACCAAGATAATCCTAGTTGAAAAAGGAAGCCCAAATGTTGTCTTGAATTCTAGCTTTGCTCTCAAATTCCCGAAAATTTGAAAGAAAAAAAAAACTATCCAGGAGCATTAGAACAAGCTATTATTGTTTTGCTCTGGGTAATTCATTTTTCATGACAGGCTGCATTTTTTTCATTTGTGATTTATAACACGTCCCTAGTCCCTACTTGTCCTTAATCGTCCTGATTTGCATGGATTGTAGAGATCTTGGGACTTGACATTCAAAATGTATCACATTTAGTGTAGTCCAGCTGTGTGGTCATGGCTCCCCTGTAGGCCGTAGGTGGGAGTACCCAAGTTGTTTGCCCAGATATTAAATAACAGTAGGTTGAAGTTGAACTGTTGCATTTGTCAGCATTAATAGACAGTGAGCTATCACATTAATTACAGTTCACATGTTTAGATAGTCGAGTTGTCTCAATATATGCAAACACCATGGATTCCAGTTGCATGATCCGCAGTATTCTGCCTTATGCTGTGGACTAATCCGCTGGTATACTATGATAGGGTAGTAGTATATTTTTATATGTTTGCTGACAGCTAGTTTCTTTAATAGTCTTGAATAAAGGTTCACGGACATAGGTTAATTAATAGCAATGAATTTAATAAGAAATTATACCCACTTCATGTCTAGTTTGAAAGTTTTCTTTTCCAAGTTTTTGGTCGAAGACACTCATCAAGGGATACCAATCTCCTCAAGTAATTATTTATTTAATTTCATTCGTTGATGAATTACTCGCCCCATTTAGGCAAGATAGTGCGGTGATAACGTGCAATTATATTGAAAGAAAAAAAAAAGTTGTACTTAGTACAAAAGATGTGGAAGACAACCTTACTATCATTTTGGAGTCACAAGTAATTATGTTGATTGATGATCTTCATTGTTAGAAAACACAACTTGTTAAATTCGAATAGTCACGATTGAAAATGAATGTAAATCAGTCAATCAGAAATATTGAATTGTTTTTCAGTCCTGGCTTTGATTACAGAATTTCTTGCAAAACTGTTGTTGAAGCAAGCAGTGCACATGTACTGCATCTGGAATAATGTGCTTAGGCAGATATTCTTCTGACTGATTCAACACTCAGCGTTTTTAAATATAAAATACTTTAATTTAGTAGGAACCTGATATGAACTCTGTTTTCATGCTATTATTATACACCTGTTGGATAATAAATTCACACAACGATATAAATAATGAAACAGAGGTGGAAAACTGAGGCCCTTGAGAAATGTGACGTGATGGTGTACACAAAGATCTTCCTGAAGTTTCCATGTAAGTTCTGGCCCTGTGGGTCCGAAAAAGAGTTCTTCATCTATGCACACGAGCGGAGAGGGTACTACACATTCTGGCAGGTTGGTATATTTTGTTAATGTTTTTATTATTGTATGCTATGGTCATATTATTTTTTGCTTGCTGCCTTTGTTTTCTCAATCCATTTCATATTATTGCTTCAGTACATGAAGTGTATTTATTGTATTATCATCTAGATTGATTGCTTTAGTCTTTAGTGTCGGGAGGTCTCAGTTGTCATGGTTTGAGTCAAAGATAGAGTCTCTCTGCACACGGGGGGGAGACTGCATTTATTCAACTTTTTCAAGATCCCATAGTCATGTGAACCTCTAGATTTCTCGTTGAGGCAGAGACAAATTGCGCCAGTTTGACTGAGCAAGTGGAAAAGTTGAGATTCACTGATATTTATATCTAGACCTTAGATATATTTTGTTTTATGGTGGTGTTACTGTTGTAAATTCACGATTTTCTGATTTGAGATGTTTGAAAACAAAACAAAATGGCATAATTTTGATTTGAAGCGCTGCAAAACATTAAAATTTTCAAAGAAACTCAAAATATCCCATTTGTCCAATGTCGGCATATATTAACTTGTCACGTTAGTGTCATGGAAACAGCGTGTTTTATCTCATTTCCAAATAAAACAAGATCATTTACTCAACAACTTTTGTCCTCTGTCCATACATGGATAATTACAAAGCAGTGATAATATATTTTATATCATTTATCATTACCACTTGGGATAGTAAGGACATAATGGAAAAGCAAAGAAGTTAATGATTATAAAGAGATCTCTACCCTGTACACTTGGAGCACATGCTCGTTGTTTTGGTTCCTCAGTAATTAGTAGCCTGTGTCCCCAATCACCGGGAATAATCATATCCACAATGGGGATAAGGCTGCCCAACACTTCCCTCACTCAAACCCGTGGGAGTCTTGTGCACTGGATTAGACCTTAAATCATCACCAAGTAATTGATATGTCTTCCAACACTCGTGGAATTGATACTAAGGTTATTTCTTGTTGGGTATGATAATATCTCATCAGGGTGGTCTGTCATTGAGGTGGATTACAGAATATTGCTATGATAGGTGTCTTGGAAGTGATGACTTGCTCATTTGATGGATGAACGCATTGTTTTGTCTAGTCCTTTCTTATTTGTCTTTTTAACTCTTCAATTCCGTGATCTTTTTTATCATACTAACTCCTTTACTATATGATGGTAAGATATATGATTTTGCTGAGGTTATGCGGTAATGACAACCTAATCAGTTCCAAATGCCAAGTAGAATTTAGTCTGTGATTAGTCATCTGAATGATTATATAAATAAGTTCGTAAATGAATAAATGCCAGTCTGTATCATGCCCCAAATGACCATGATGCCCATCTGCAAATTCCATCCATGACCTTTGGAGTGCAATCCTTTATTTTCCAGTTCAATCACAACTACTGACTTTAGCCATATAAGAAATCCAAGAAGAGACTATTTCCCTTGTCCAGATAATCTAATCTCGGCTTCTGCATTTTTTATGGTGAATGTTTCTTCATTCCATGTACATTGATGTTCTGTCACTCTCATAGAGCTGGCAGTCTTTTTGCGCCGTAGAATCCACAGCTATTGTTTTTACTTAATTGAGAGATTACCACTATAATAATGTAGTCAATTTTCAAGCTAAAACAGAAGATTAAATTAGCTCCTTGGCTGCTGAGATAAAGGAACATGTTCTTCATCACACGTGGTCTCCTAAGGAGGTTTCGTGGGAGATTGTCGTGCATCATTTTCAATATTATATGAATGATAGATTCAGATCTTATAATACTAAAGATTAAGTGTGAGGGAAGGGTATTGTTATATAATATTGCGGTTGTTGATCTGATCATCTATTCATTTATAAATACTCACCAAACTGATCCAAGCTGCCATCGATCTGTTCTTATGTCATCAGCACATGGACAATGCTTACCCTGGGTCAAATATTCTTGTTGTAACGTTGACGAATGGAGAATCAAAACGTGTTGAAGCTCAATCAGATCAAGAGACATTGAAAGAAGCAATGGAGGTGCTAAGAAACATGTTTGGGCCTGACATTCCGGATGCCATTGACATACTAGTGCCTCGCTGGTGGAATAATCGCTTCCAGTGTGGCAGCTACAGCAATTACCCCATCTATGTGAATCATCAAATTGTTGATGACATTAAGGTGAGCATCTTGTCCCATATTCACGACTTCCAATTCTTGACACAATGCTAATGGTGTTTGATAATGTTGCAAAGATCACCAAATGTAAAAATATTGACTGCTATTATATAGTGTTTCCATCATCATCTCAAGCAAACTGCGGAGCCCTAGTACATTATGAAAAATGGCTTCCCGTAAATTAACATTTGAATGTGCTCATATGTGAAAAAAGATACACAGACTTGTAAAAATAACCCCATAAGGTTGAATGCGATTAATTCTGTTTTGATCCCACATTCTAAATCTTGCACCTCAAGATTGCGTGTCTTTAAACTTCAATGCTTGCAATGTGAAGTGCAAAAAGCAAATCGCAAGAATTTTGGATCCTAGACATTCTAAATATGAAATATTGCCGTGCTCAATTAGAATATTTATGTTAGTGTAACATTCTGATCTTTTGTGTTTTATTTGGTCAGGCACCTGTAGGACGGATTTTCTTCACTGGAGAACATACAAGTGAAAGATTTAATGGCTACGTCCATGGTGGATACCTTGCAGGTGAGCAATCTAGGTCTTTAATAGTGATCTTAGAGAATAATTCAACTCCCTTAATACAAATATGGTTACTGATATCCTTCTCATTACATTATTGATTTTGAACAGGTATCGACACTAGCAAAGCTTTATTGGAAGAAATGAGGAAGGAGAAGGAAAGAAAAACAGAGAGCCAAACTTTTCTACTAGAGCCTTTGTTAGCGTTAACTGGATCATTAACATTGACACAAACAGATGCAGTGTCAGGTCTCCACAAATGTGAAATTCCTAGACAATTGTTCCTAAGTAGTAACAAGCTTGGCCTTTCAGAGGCCATCTTATGACTAGATGGACCTGTGGGCGAACCTGACTTAGGCAATGAGAAGATTCTAACACATGGGAACGAGAATCTGATGGGCTCGGATGGCAATACAGTTCGAACCCTGGATCCGTTCTATGACGCAGAATAAAAAAGACATCATTACAAGACCGGTACAGCTTTATGGAGCTATCAACCAGAGGAATTGCCGGAGTAATCATGGAGGTGTTCGGCTTCATTCTCAGGGGAATTGGTTTGGGGCATACATACAAGGATGTTCATTGCAGTGAAAATTCGAAGGATGTTCATTGTGGGGAAATTGATAGGGAAACCATGACTGGATTATAGTGTACTAGTGACTTTGACTATTATTTAACAGATTGTTTTTTCAAGTACCTTTGTTCTGTTAAACTACCACTTGTATTGCTTAAAGCATCTTAATAAACAACTAGCTTGGATAGCCCTGTTGCGTTTCATAAGCTGAAGAACCATCATTGATCAGAAGAACAAGTCTTACATTAGTTTATGTACACTGCTATTGCTAGATAACTATTACAATGAATAATACCTTATTATAATTCAGAACAATGTTTCTATAATAGATAAAAGTACCCATTGTGTGGTGAAGATCAGCCCGAAAAATGGGGACATCAGAAAGCAGAAGAACAATTTGAGATTGTTCCTGTCATTTTAGTCTCAATTGCATTTCTCTATAGATTACTGCCCCAACTTGCAACGCAAATAATGGTTGATGAGGTGCTGTAACTTTGCCTCATCTCATAAAAAAACTTGATAAGAAATCGAGAATTTAGGAAGAATAACAATGTGAGATTGTTCTTGTCATTTTCTCAATTGCCTTTCTCTGCAGATTACTGCCCCAACTTGCAACACGAAAAACGGCTGATGAGGTGCTTTAACTTTGCCTAATATCATAGTAAAACTTGATACGAAATCGAGAGTTTAGGAAAAAGGTATAGGTTTATGAGATTGTAACATGCTATGTCTACAACACCCTCAAACAATTGGAGCCAAATTTTGGTAAAGAAATACATCCTGTTTGACAATTTCTGTTTTAATCCTGTAAATACTTCCTACTTCATGAGAGGCAGTATAAATTCTAAGAGACTCCTTACAACAAATTACACCACAAGAGAAGACTTAAATTTGGCATACCAAATACATGTATTGCATGTTGTTGGATCAAGACAAAGACCTAAATTTATCTACGGTTTATGGACACTTTTTGTAAGTAACCCAAAAAAAATACATCAAAAAGTAAAAGTATATTTGATTCCTCAACAATATATGATTGATATGAACTTAGTATTTCGAAAAGACACCTACATATGTATAATACTATACATACGATTAAGTTTGAAAAAAGAGAATACATTTGGACAAGGAAAAAACAAAAAAACAAATAAAAATACAGTGACAAATGCCACTTAAAAAAGAATTAGTTATTGTCTGTGCTTGAAGACACAAAATAATAAAAAATGGTAAACAATAAACATATTTATATTTATATCCAAAATCAAATCACAAACATAGAGAAGAAATAAAGAAATTTAAGCATCGATTTTATAGTGGGGGTGAGAGATGGTCAGCGGCAGTGGTGGTGATAGGAGACGATGATGGTTGTGGTGGCGACGACGATGGTGGCGACGACGATGGCAGGTGGCGAACGGTGATGGTGATGGTGGTGGTGCTGGTGGTGGTGGTGCTGGTGGCGCGGTTGCGGCGATGATAGTGGCGGCAGTGGCAATGATAGTGAGGGTGACGGTGGCGATAGTGATGGGGGTGGGGGCAATGGGTGGTGGTGGCAGTGGCGGCGGCAACAACGGCAGTGGTGATGGTGGAGGGGGTGGTAAAGGTAGTGGTGAGGGCGGTTTGAAACACTATTTTTTTTTAAAGTATTTATGATAAATAATTTCTAAAAGTACTTTTAAAAAGTCACTCCAAACATACCTTAGAGTCCTATTTTTCCTATTAAATTTAGAATANAATTTAGGGTATTAATATTAATCATTAGATTAACTTTAAAGTAAAATTTAAAACAATCTCAACCGCGAATAACAAAAGTTNCGTTAGATTAATTTTAAAGTAAAATTTAAAACGATCTTAACCGCGAATAACAAAAGTTATTTTATTTATCTTTTAAAATTTTAATTGAAAACTACTTTATTATATAGATTTCAACAAGTTAGAAAATACTTAAAAAAAACTATCAACAAAGAGTACCTTTGGTCTCTGCTACCAAATACTTAAAAAAAACTATCAACAAAGAGTACCTTTGGTCTCTGCTACCGCTTTTCTAAGCATCAATACATGATCCGATAGAAGGGTCAGAGATTCAACGATCGACTCATATTCTATTTTGACTTCTTTTTAAATTCGATAAAAGTAACATGATTCTTGGTATTGCAAGGAGAATGTAATAAGTGAATTGATGGTTATACTTATTTGAATTGAAGACGCTTTAATTTTACTGGGTCTGACCATTTGGATGGAGGGTGACTAAATTTCATTCCCTTTTCTTTTTCTATGTTTGGTTTGGTAAAACCGTAAAAGCTGCACCTAATAAACAAAAACTGAAATGGGGAACATAGTAGGAATAAGAATAAAACCATAAAGAAGAAGGGGATGTAGGACAAGTATGTCATTTTGAATGGTATGAAATTAGATGAAATTTTGAAGGGGATGTATGGAAATTATTTTTATCAATTTGCTATTGACAACATTTTTAATAAACGATATCTAACTTACAGTTACTAATAACTTATTTAATTAGGAAGACAACTCGTTCAAAAATTATACAAAATGAATTTATCTAATGTTGCTCCCACTCAAGCCTCTATCTTTGACCTTAACCCAAAAAAGTGTACAAGGATGGAAAGAAAAAAAAAAATTGCTGTCTATGAAACCCGATTTTATTCATAGGGAAGTATAGACTAATGTGGATCTTCTTTGCACAACAAAATTTTCACTATCCTATGGTTATTGTTTTTGACGACCAAAAAATGTTGATAAGACAACTTTTTCTTTGCATTTGTCAAACACTAGATAGGACAATTTCCCTCAAATATTGTTGAGAATATCATATGTGTGATTTAATATGATTTGTTACCACGAAATGAATACGATATAAAATTAATGAGTTTTAGTGTTTCTTAAGTCATCGATTTTATAAACGAGTGAATCCGATATGACGTGATTAATAAACTAATCGTGAATAAGTGAAACGAATAAAAAAAAAATTTACAGTACGATTCATTTATATTCTAATTATCTACGATTTATAAATGACACGAATTCAGTATGACATGATTCGTTTGACATAAATTAATAAATGAATTGATTATTGGTGAAAGGGTTAAAATTCGATACAAATTCACCTCACCAAATACGGTTTAGGAGCATTGTGATTACTATTTTTTTTTCTTTTTTTGTCCTCATTTGGTGGTTGAGGGTTGGTTGGTCTCTTCGACCATTTTTTGGCTTTATGTTTGAAAGAATTATATCTAGACCTCTTATGATTTGACACTTAATCCTCTCATAGTTGTACATACATAAGACTTAACCTCTGTCGTCAAATAGTATATCCGTTAGTAATTTACACCCATATTTCTTGAAATTTGTAAGTGTATAATATTTAAACTCTTCAAGTTTAAAATATTATACTTAGAAAAAAAAATTTCAATAAAATATAGAATATTAAATATTTTAAATTTTACAATTAAAGTTCAGGTGTTTATTGTATCATTTATTTAAATAAAATTAAAAATAAAAAATCAATTTTTTCTTAAAAAATTATAATTATTATGTAATTAAACTATCTATTGGAATAAAACTAAAAACAATTAAATAAGGGGTCTAAGTCATTCATAATATAACATAAATTTTACAACCAAAGTTCATAAATTTAACAACCAAAGTTCATGTTCTATTATGTCATTTATTGAAATAAAATTAAAAATAATTTTTAAAAAAAAAATTATAATTAGTGTAAAATTATACTATCTATTGGAATAAAATTAAAAAATTAAACAAATTGTCAAACTATAATAGATACAATATGTTCTAACTTTAATTAGGGTAATTTGGTAGTTTAATTTGATCGTTTAAATGATCAAATTAAATTTCAATAGATAGTATAATTTTATACTATGGTCTAATGGTATAATTTTGAAGAAAAAATTAGATTTTTTTTTTAATTTTATTTCAGTAAATGTTATAACAGAACATGAATTTTGGTTGTAAAATTTAAAATATTGGATATTTTATTTTTAGTTCGAGTATTTTTGATCTAAATATAATATTTTTAAAAAAATATTACATGCCTTTAAACTTCATGGGATCTGGATGTAATTTACTAACAGATATACTAATAGACATTGACGACAGATGTGTAAGTATTATGCAGATACAAATTTTAGGAGATTTATATATAATATTTCAAATGTCAAAAAATTTAAGTTATTAAGTGATAAACCTCGTGGATTTGAGTGTAATTCTCTCTAATGATTTTCTTTGGTTGTTATTAAATTTCTAGAGGGACAATTTTTTGTGTTTTTTGTTTTTAGAATACTAATTACCAAATTACAGAATCACCATCGACCTTTACCTCATATTACTGGGGGTGGTCCTTATCCTATAATGACTAAAATACCCCTCCTTTCCAAAGCCTACCACTCCTTCCGTCCAGGGTTAAAATTGGAAATGAAGGTACAAGTATGGCTGCATAAAAAGGTAATATTCAAACCTGATTAGGTTCAGAATGAGGCTAAGCCAGAGGAGTGGGAGTTTGTGAGGGTGGTTGCCCCTCTCTAGCACCCAGCCGATTATTTCACAACGAAACCATCAACAGTCCTTCATGCACACACACACACACACACACACACACACACACACACACACATATATGGTTAATTTCGTTGACACACCCTTGTGGTTTGATGAGGCTGTGAGGATGATGTTTTGGAAGAAAAATCAGGCTCTGAGCTGATCCGTTTCTTGGCAGGGCGACTCAGATGGTCTATGAGAGAGAAAGAGAAATGGGTTTTGCTTCTTTTTTATCTGTTCTCTCACATGGCTGACTGTTTTTGCAGCCATGGCGGTTTAGCCTGTGTCTGAAAAAAGGCGAATCTGAGCCCTCGTTGTTCTCTCGTAGCCACACTCTCGCTCTCTGGATCTGTGATATGTATCTGTATATGCAGATATGCCTTTTATCTGAGCCTCCCCCTTTTTCTCTCTTAACCAGGCTCTTGCTCTCTAGATCTGTGATATCTATGTGTATATGCAGATACATATGTAAATGAGGGTGTTTTTGTGTTTCATTGTTGGATCTATCTTTTATGGTAAAAGATTGGGGTAACTTTGAGAAATCCATTAGGGTTGGATTGAGTTGGTGTTTGGTAAAGGTGGGTGACATTGGGTAGTCCTTGGACCGGCCATTAGGACTAACTATTGTATTGGCTACCTAGGCACCTCCAAATGAAAGATAATGGGAAAATTGAAAAGCCCAAAAGAAACATGGAATAAAGTGTAATCAAGAAGACTCATAGATATTTGTCAAGTATCTAGACATATATTCTTAGCCACTCTACAACTCTGTAGTCTCATATGTTCTGTTATCTTTATTATTTGCCCCAAACGGAGGAGGGACCAGGCAACCCTCGTTGCCCAAAGCAAAGTGTGGTTGGGTTGCGACATCTGCCAATAATACACCCAAATAAAGGTATCTATAATCTTGATGCTTGTTATGTCTCCATATGGTTCTTAGTTTAATTGGTAGGCCATTTATATTTATTCTTTCAGTGACTTGATTTAATTGTTAAGTTGTATTTGATTGTGAAAATTAGGTGATTTGAGAGGCAAAGAATATTCATATATGAGTTATATGTTTGAGTTTCTATCTCTTATTCATTTGGTGACATTGTTCCATTTTTTTTTTTTTTGACAATTGCAATATAATAGATTTTATATTAGCATAAGCATTTATTGCTTCTTATATATTTTAAAATTTTTTTGAATGTTACCTCAAAAACATTACTCCAGATATGAAAATTGTACAAAAATATGAGAATAGATCAATTGACTCAATGTGAAAAGTGAGCTTTTAACAAATTGATAGCAATGATAACAATATTACAACTTCAATCAAAGGAAAAATAACTGAACAATTAGTGTTTTTAATGAAATTTGCAAATAATTATATAGTTGTATGAACAGATGACAATGAGTGTAAAAAAATTAGAAAAAATGAAACAAATAAAGAAGAGAAGTATCTCAAATAAATAATGGATTTTATTCCTACAAGTATTTTTGAGTGTAATACCCCGTTCTATTTTGGTAAGGAACTAGTTAGGGAATATTATCTTGGAAGGAATAAGAAAAATTTTAAAGAAGAATTTAAAATAATTTAGAAGAATTTAGAATATTGGAGAAGTTTCTAGAAAGTTCTAGAAGATTTTAGAATGTACAAGAATAACCTAAAATAGTTTAGAACAATCTAAGAAGAATCTAGAATGTTGATATTATCTTGGAAGGAATAAGAAAAATTTTAAAGAAGAATTTAAAATAATTAGAAGAATGTAGAATATTGGAGAAGTTTCTAGAAAGTTCTAGAATATTCTAGAAAGTACAAGAATAACCTAAAATAGTTTAGAACAATTTAAGAAGAATCTAGAATGTTGAAGAAGTTTTTAGAAAGATTTGGAAGGTTCTAGAATATCGAGGAATCTAGAGCACTCCAAAAAAGTCCGGAAGGTTTTAGAAGATTTTAGAGAGATAAAAAGTACTCAACAATGTCCTAGATTAGTATGGAGGCTTTTAGAGATGTGGAGGATTAACCATTATATAAGTATCTACAATTGGAACTTAGAAAGCTCCAAGTAAAGGAGTGAAGGGAGAATCTAGAAATGTTTTCCACACCAAGGAAATAATCACACGTCTACATTCTAGAATATTCCTAGGAGTCCGGAAGGAAGGCCTATAAATAGCGGATTTGATTATTGAATTAGGAGAAAAACACATTGGTGAGCTCTCACTAGAGAGAGAGAAGGAAGGTTGAATACTTCATATAAGAAGAAACGAAACCGTGGAAGAACAATGTAAGGGATTGACAACTTCTCAATCAACATTGGGTGACAAATCATTTCCTTTGAACTTGAGGTGAGTGGTTTGACATGCTACGTATTTTTCCCGTATCCCCTCTTGTCACACCTCAACTCTAAGGGCTTAACCGGCCGTGAACCATAAATGCATAACTTATAGAACACGTAAACCTAACAATAAACTAATAATATAGGAGTGAAAAACAACATTAACACTAAATTGATCTCATGTCAATATGTCAAAGTCAATAATACCTAAACCTATTTGCCCAAATTATCCAAACAAGTAAAGATGGCTATACAATATATGTTACGGAGGTCAAAACACTATTAGTCCCCATTCAATTCCTTGAGTCCGTTATTGATACTCCAATCGTTTACTTGAAAAAATATTTTTTTGAAAACATGAGCTAAAACGCTCAGTGAATGGAAAGGCATGCATATTCAAAGTGGCTGAAAAACATATTTGACATAAGATATATAAATCAAATATTTAAAAAAATAACTTCATTAAGATAACTAATTTCTCTAGAATAACATAATCGGATTCCAACAAGAAATCATACCACAATGGTGAATCATATCATAATGGTGGAGATTGTACGATATACAATAATTGATGGGAACCAAATACCACATACTAGAATATATCTCAAGGTTGGATCCAACATCGTTCTTAGGGTCACCACGGGTTGGAGCCCGAGAACTGTTCCCTAAGACGATTCGATGAAGGTCACCAAGACGCATCAGGAACTGTTCCTTCAACCGTTGAGCACTAGGGTCACCTCAGCCTCTCTCGGGTTTGTTCCCTAGTGGCCACGGTTACCCGCACACAAAGAAATAATTTCTTTGGACTTTCAATCATGGTCCCATTCACTATCACAAAGTCTCATCATATAGACAAGTGATTGAGTCACAATATTTCACAAAAGAGTTCATCAAAGTAATCAAAATTGTATGTCGCAAGTATTTTGACACTTAGTAAAATATTTTGTAAAGGTAGTAATGAACAAACATGATGTATTGTTTTAAAATGTTTAGGGATACGGAGAATTTTCGAGGATACGTTGCATGTCAAACCACTCACCTCAAGTCCAAAGGAAATGATTTGTCACCCGATGTCGATTTTCGTTTCTTCTTATATGAAGTATTCAACCTTCCGTCTCTCTCTCTATCTCTCTAGTGGGAGGTCACGAATATATTTTCTTCCTAATTCAATAACTATGTCCCCAATTTATAGACCTTCCGGACTCTTAGGAATATTTTAGAATGTGGACATGTGTCATTATTTCCTTGGTGTGGAGAACCCTTTTAGATTCTCCCTTTACTTCCTTACTTGGAACTTTCTAGGTTCTAATTGTAGATATTTATACAATGGTTAATCCTCCACTTCTCTAGAAGTCTCCATTCTAATCTAGGACGTTGTTGAGTACTCTTTATCTCTCTAAAATCTTCTAAAACCTTCTGGACTCTTCCGGAGTGCTCTAGGTTTTTTGATATTCTAGAACCTTCCAGATTTTTTTAAAAACTTCTTCAACATTCTAGATTGTTCTAGACTATTCTAGATTATTCTTGAACTTTCTAGAATTTTCTAAAACTTTCTAGAAATTTCTCCAATATTTTAGATTATTTTAAATTCTTCTTTAAAATTTTTCTTATTTCTTCCAAGATAAACTAGTTTCTTGTCAAAATGGAACGAGATATTACATTGAGTCTATTAAGAGATTTATTAGTTTGAATCTATTCCTAGAATTAAGTGGTCCACATAGAGATAATGGTTTTGTTTTGTTGAAATACGAAAATATTAGACATTTTTCAACTATGCATTACATGCAAAATTTACTAAACAGAGAACATTATCATAGTATTTGAAAATTTTAGATACATTATATATATTTATTGCAAATTGTTTAATTCTAAATACAAGTCAATTATCTAATTAAGGAACTTGAGATTGAATAGTTCTAGTACTAAACTTAAAACTCATGGAACAATTAATGAACTCATTAAAAACATGAACACTTGGATTGTTTTGACATAAGACTATTGAAAAATGAAACGATAATAATTTTCATGGATAAATTCACAACGAAAGAGGCCATTCAACGAAAGCTTTACTAGAGCTATTGTTTTTAAGAATCTTGATGAAATAAATTAACATTTCGTATGGCTAAAAATGTCTATTATGTTCATCTTTCGGAAGAACTAAACTATTATCTCTAATTAGAATTCACTATTGTATTGAGATTCTCATCTTTTTGTACAACTCTTCCATTATTTTCAAATTTCTTTATGGGGATTGAGTCTTCAATTATTAAAACTTTTGCTTGAAGTTGTGGTCATATATCATTATTAATAGTAACAAATTATCAAGGGCAGTGCACCTATTTTCCCTCTTTTCTTCACATTGTTCATATACAGTCCATGGTTTCTTATTGACATTTTCGAAATTAAACAATATTTGCGAACCAAATAAATTCTTAAACAAGAAATGGCTATACTTTCATTTAAAAAATTTTGTATTACAAAATTCAAGAACAATAGAGCAACAACATGTGATATATTAGATGTGAAAACTTAAAAGATGTAATGATATATGAACTTTCTTCTTCTCCCAATTACCTAGTAGCTTTGACCTTCACAATCAAATACAATTTGATTGAGAATAAATCATTTCAAAGGAAATATAAAAATAAGCAAACTAACAAATAAAGTAAGAACCTTGGGGTTTCTATGGGTAATATAATCTTAAAATAGTTGTAGGAATCCGTTAGATTTTCTAACGGTTTTTTTCATTGGTGTTGATATGAGACTTAAGAGTGGCTAAGAATCTTGCTAGTTGATAACTATTCTTTTGGTCTTCTTTTATTTTGGGTCATATTACACTTTATTTCAAATTTTGGTTTTTGCTCTTCTTTTTTTCATTTAAGTTCCTTCTCATTTGGGGGCACTAGGCGGCCACTTCAATAGCTTGACCTAAGAGTCGGCCGTGAAGATCACTCACCCACTAAACCCTACTATCCCCTCCAAAAACTTAGATATCTCCGCATGGGTCTCTGAAAACTCCTTCAAACTCTACCATTTCCCTCCTAATCCTCACTGTTGCCACTCAGTTTGTCCTCCATACCACCACCAACCTCACCTCCCTTCTTTACTATCTTGCCCACCTAGAACTCATCCAAGAACTCAAATTCCCAAAAGTCAACCTCCATTATTGATAAATACTCTTCATTCTGTTCTTTCCACCCAAATAATGGATTATTTTCTCTGTATCTGGGTACCCTACCAGTTCACTCCATAGTCTTGTTTAAGGCCA